GCCTTGTACAATGACATAAGAGAAGCACATAGATATTAAGAGCCACATTCCTCTCTGTTGTTACATACTGGAAGCAACCCAAATGCCCATCAACAAGGAAGTGCACAAACAAACATATTCATTCATCATTTTACACTGTGGTGAATAATAAATATATCTTAGCTATCTTTTTTGAGTTCTTACTATGTGCCAAGCACAATTTCAAGCATTTGACATGAATTAACTTACATGAAACACCCTAAAAATGAACAGGCACATATACCAATTGAAATCTTAGTAACAAAATTTAATGAAAAAAGTAAATCACAAAAAAACACATACAAGTCACCACAACAAAGTTGAAAACCAGTCAAAACAATTTGAGAGTCAATCAAACATATAATGCTATTTCTGTACCCACTTCCCTTTTTTAATCTAATCAAGGGACATGGATACACAGGAAATAGAGATGTGAAGAGGATGAGATCAAGAAGAGAAGGTGCTTATGTTAAGTGGTAAATTCTCAAGAGACTGATTTTATTTTTTCTAAATTATTCAAGAATATTACAATGCATATATATCAAATGCTTTGTAATAAAAATGTCACCCTTATAAACACTTTTGACTTATTAAAATTTGTATCATCATTCAATAAAAAATTTTGGTTTAAGTACAGGTAAATCATAGCTAACATTTACTTGGCACTTAAACATGTGGTGTGTATTATTCTACATGTATTAATACCCACAAACCAATCTAACCATCATAGGTACCATTATCTTCACCTTATGAGGAAGCAAGAGAATATGAATTTGATGCCAGCCTTGGCTACAAAAATAAAATAAACAAACAAAAGAATCATGCCCCCCCCCAAATCTACTTATCAATGTTGAGGACCAGAGAGCAGGAAGCAAAAAGGGAAGGGTCAAAATAAAACAGCAAGTTTTGAACACTCACCTAGAATCTGAATGACTGAAAACTACTTTTAAAAATTCCAGGAAAAAGCCCCTTTCCACAATGACTGTTCAAGCAAATCACATAAAATGAGTTGCTCTAAGATGGAAACTTCTGAATGTTCTCATCATGAACTGTCTAGAGTTACTAAATATACAGTGTTACAACGCATAAACAAGAAGGTGAGTAAATGGCTCAAACACATGTATGAATACTTATTTTTAACAAATCACTACCTTAATAAATTCACATTGCATTGCTCAAGTACAAATAATTTTAACAAATAATCAAGAAATTCCACCCATAACTAGCTCTAGACATTTGTTTTACATGCAAATCCTGGCTGTTTGCCATACATCTGGTGTCATTAACAAAATTAAAACTAATTTTACTAAAATTTAAAACATCTAAATGCTCCTTAAAAATTTAAGGATGCCTTAGCAAGTCTTTGCTTCTTAATGAGCTGTTCCTGAGTTTATTATGTGACTTGAATTATTCAAAAGTCAACCTCAAACTCTTCAAGAATACAAAGCATTTTTCAATCAAGCAATTACTTGGTGTCTATCTGATGGCTAAAAAGGTCTAATTTGGCGTAGGCAAATCATGAAAAATAAGAGCCCAAAATAAAACTGTCAATAAGCAGTGTATTCCTAATATAAAAAAATTAATGTTTTTATTCCAGTCAGCAAATAAAAAGAGATGCAATAATGAAAGTCAATTTAAAAAATTCTGTATAGTCAAATCAACATTTTATTGAGAAATGTATAAGATATTTTCTCCATAATATTACTTCATGTTTTTCTTTTATAATGCTTTAATAAACATGTTTAATTCTCATTATACTCCATTCCTTCCTTCTATAATAACCTAGTTACTTATCCTAGAAGAAACTGGCTACAGTTAAGCCCAGAGAGGATGAAAAACAGACATCATTAACATGAATAAGGTTTCTCAAGGAATCAAGAAAATCTGCTGTAAAAAAAAAAATCCAACTCAAGGAAAGCTGTCTTTGGAATGTTTATTATTATTCAAGTACTCTTACCTGATACCATTTACCACTTGGTATTTTACTAGCTACACCAACTCTAACTCTGCTTTGCAAGCTCTAGCTATTTCATACTGATTTGGGAAATCTGTACCAGAATATCTTATCTCCTCACCCTAATTTACACTCTGCATTGTCTGAAACATCCGTAACTTCGAGTATCATCTCTGTGTATTATCTCAAGTATAATCACTACTTTAGTGGAGTTCCTCCTGTCACGAGATTTACCAGTAGAAGATGAACAAATAAAACACTGAAAATATTTGTCAGGACTGTTACCTATGAAGAAAATTAAATTAGGATAACTTTAAAGACCAATGGTACTTTAGACTGAGTGATTTAAAAAACACTTCTGCCCAGCAGAGATGAGAATTAAAGATAAAATTGTAGTTTGAGGCCAGCCTGGCAAGTTAGTGAGAACAAACCAACTAAAGGTATAGGTACAGGTCTGTAACCCAGCTAGGTGGAAGGTAAAAGGTGGAGGATTGTATTCAATAGAAAAAGCTGGGTATGGTAATTCATGCCTGTCATATTAGGGAGATTTTTTTCTTGGGAAGATCGTGGTCCAGGCTAACCTGGACAAGTGAGACCTTATTTCAAAAATAAAGAGAATAAAAAGGGCTGAAAGCATGACTCAAGTGGTAAGGTGCCTGCCTTGCAAATCTGAGCCTGAGTTCAAACTCTAATGCCACCAAAAACTAACAAAGAACTGCATCCTTAATCTGCCCAAAAATGATACGAAGAGTACAAAAACAAGTGAAATAAGAACCTACACAAAATAAATGAGCACACTAATACCCACTTATGAGGGTGTCTAAAAGAAGACACCCACATAAAAACTACAACATCGTGTGACTGGGAACTAGAGGTAAATAATACACACAATAAGGACACACATCTCTCTACTTAGATTGTAAGTAATGGGGGAGGTGGGAGAAATCGCTGAAATCTTATGACAAGTCAGCTCCTCTCATCTAAATGTGTGGTCTCAATTCATGTCAATAATGTGGTCTAAATGAATTTGGGAATGCGGCACTTGCCTAGCATGTGCAATGCTCTAGGTTCAAGCTCTAGCACCACATTTTTACAAAAGCACAGTTTTCTCCCAGTTTAAAAGAAGTAAATGAAAAGTTCTAGGGGAGAGCAACTTCAATGTATAGAAACCTCAAATCCTTATCAGATACAAAAACTACATGGAAATTGATCAATTCAGTTACAAAACATAGCTATGGCATTGTTATAATTGTAATAAAGGGAGGAAAAGGGATAAGAACCCCAAAGAATTCACACAACAGAATTTTTATTCACAAAATACAAAATAGCCACACTTAATATATCTAAAAGTAATAAATGAGAAGTGTGAAAAATATAAGGAAGGAATAAGAGACATACACAACACAATGGAAAAAATTTCAAGCAATGAAATTATATATTATATAATGAAAATAACAGCAAAATCAACCAATAAAGAGTACAAACAACTAAAGGAGAAAATAAGTGACCTAAGTACGCCTGTAGAAATAATCCGGAATGCAGATCAGGAAGACAAAAGAAATAGGAAATATGATAGCGATATTTAGGGATATTGAAAATGAAGCAAAAAAAATGAATAGAGGCTGGGGATTAGGTTCAGTGGGTAGAGCTTCCCTAGCTCATGCAAGGCCCCCAAAAAGACCTAACATATTTTGAATTAGATTTCCAGAAAGAAATAAGAGATAAATACAAAGAAATAATAGTTGGAAAGATAATAGAGAATTACAGAATTCCAAAATGGTAGGAAAATTCAATTGTCAGATACAGGAACCCCAACAAATCTCAAGCAGAAAAAATACAAAGATACACTTGTCAAGAAACTTCATAGTAGTAAAACTGTCATTTACATTCAAAATAAAATTAATCCAATTTTAATAGGCAATCAGAAAAGATACAAGAATAAAAATACAAGAACAAACGCATGATGACTCACTTAACAACAGCAACAATAGAACCCAGAAGACATCTTTTCTCTTTTCTTTTTCTTTTTGGGAGTGCCGGGATTTAAATTATTTAAATTCAAGGGCTTGTATTTGCTAGGCAGGCACTCTACCACTGCCTCCAAACCTTTTTGCCCAGGTGCACACTTGAATAATGATCTGCCTATTTTTTTTTTTTTTTTGTCGGTCATGGGGCTTGAACTCTGGGCCTGGGTGCTGTCCTTCAGCTCTTCAGCTCAAGGCGAGCGCTCTACCACTTGAGCTACAGCGCCACTTCCGGTTTTCTGGTGGTTTATTGGAGATAGGAGTCTCACGGTCTC